TGCTTCTGCTATGTATTTAACTATTCTTGATAAAATCCAAAAATCCGCTACGTTACTGGTCCTGGCTTGGCATCTCGGCTTCATGTCGTTTTCCCGCCATCGTAATGTACCTTGCTTGTGACTTTTCTATAAATAAATACCTTCACGGCAATTGTTCTAGTGATCTTTTCTCTTGGATAACCTGACTTCATATATAGTACTAGATTGGCAGCTAGGTCTCATCATTTTACAGCTGGAAGTGCGCGATGTAACCGTAAGTTCTATGCTTACAGTTTCTTCTTTCCGTCTTGTGGAACTCCCTTCTGGTCTCTTGCTTTCTAGTCAGCACTGCTTTTCAAAAACAGAAATGCAATGTTAATCGTTATCTTAATAATCCCTGTGCTTTTATTGTTCTTTCTCCACAAATTTTCTTAGATTCTTTTACGCTTAGTAGCCTCTTTTGTCTTAGTGACTTTATCGCCTTGCTTGGGGTGAAATCTACCTATATATAAAATTCTGTGACGTCTGTCTGTCCGTCACACCCTCTAAAATACCCCTACATTGACTGATCGAAATCAAATTTTGGGGAGAAGTGCAAACAGGTAAAGGGGGGGGGGTACAAAGTAGTTGGTTTTACTAGGAAGCGTAGCTTTGTACAATAAATTTTCATTAATTCGTTTGGAAAAATTAAAAGTTTTATTATTTGACATACAAAATACTCCCATTATTATTATTTTTTTTTAAATTCATGATTAAAATAACAAATACTTCTATAATAATAAAGCGTAGTGTACGTCTGTCCGTCGGTCCGGCTGTTTTTCGATGTGGGCCAATCATAAACAACCTGAAGTAACAAGGAGTAACTACTGTAGTTACACGCGATTAAAAATTGAATAAATAACTCATTTAAAATTAAATTCAAATATCGACAGAGTGAGAGGTTTAAAAAAACAATTCACTATTAAAGGTTTAACTTTAATTTCTATTTTCGTCGCAGTTGCAATTGATATCGTCTAATTAAACCATAATTAAAACTTAAGCGGGGCACCGCACGTTGCTCATATCTTTTTCTTTTTCTTTTTCTAGCACGCGTACTGTGACGTATTTGAAATATTACATAGTTTAGGTACCCTAATGTCTTTTCAGAGTGACTTTATATGAAGGAATCATAAAGAATGGTGATTTTCAAAGAAAATAAAAGTTGCGCGCAAAACAAATATAAACAAACTCCAGAGATAGGTTTTCGTATACGAAGAAAGATTATGCCGAATTAAGGTGTCGAATAACGATAAACTAATTTTATTATTTCTAAATCCTTATAACTTTTACGTACTTAGAACACTGAAGATAAAAGACCGAAAGCACAAAAGCCCTTCACGGAAGCTGGCCAAAGAGCGGTTTTGGGGCTAGTATTTAATAAAAATTCAATATTTTCTCACGTATCTTTTCTTTAAGTCTGTGTACATACAAGAACCCTGTTTCCAGTTCGCCCTGAGTTTGCGAGAATTATAAACAAAGCACAGGGCCAAACGCTTCATAAAGTTGAAATTTGACTCCAGAAAGAATTTTTTTTACAAATGACCAGTTGTATGTTGCATGCTCAAAAGTAAGAAATCCTAAGAATTTATTCTTCGCTGTTAAAAAGGAATTTTCTTAAAAAATATTGTTTACCATATAGTCTAATAAAATTAAATTTAATTAAAGAAATTATTAAACGGCAAAGTAGGGTTTTTGTCAAAGTATTTTTCCAAACAAATCAGCTTATTTAAATTTCAGAGATTGGTTTGTGAAATTGAATGAAGCGTAAAGTTTGTACATCTTGACAAAAATGTTAGCGGTAACTTCAACAAAGCTAAATTCTTTGAGGATTTCAGACTACTTAGCGAGCTTAAGTGAATGGATGGCATGACAGGTTTTGACAAAGAGACAAAATTCTAGCACCTTAAATGCCTGAATTCGGCGCGAAACAGGTAGCAAACTAATTTCGCTAAACATTGCTAATAGAGCGATTTTAATCCTCATTAGGGGCTCAAACAGACACTAATAATACTAAAAATATATTTAGTGAAATACTAAAAATTCTAGTAATTAAAATAAACATTATAAACATCATTCGTCTTTCAAGTTTTAATTTTGTTAAGCAAAACTTTTTAAATATTTGCCCTTTCCATTGTCCAGAGAACAATTGACTTATAACCATCATTTATATTCGGACTAATTATCTTTCTCATTATGATCACAACATTTCGGCCTTCTTCAGACAATTGCCGATCTGGGGAAACTTTCGGACTTAACCCTTTATTCAATCAACAGGAGTATATCTTTCTCATCTGGCTGTCCATGTCCAGGGATATTTCGCATCTTCGAACTGCTCAGTTATTGTTTGTTCTGTTTCCACAGAGTCGGGGGTCTGTATTACCCGAGCCAGGGATTGAACACTGTCACCAAATTCTCGAACTAACCCTTTCATTTTTGTAGGAGAATAAGACGAGTTATCTCTAGACACTGGCAGCAGAATGAGAACAATATACATGCGTAATCTAAATAAAGATTTCGGTTAGAAATTCCCTGAAAGCTAGCCGGATCGAAGACGCCTGAAGAATACCGTATTGCGTAATGGTCGAAACGTTGTAATAACAACAAAAAGATGGTTTGGGATATTAGTCCGAATTTTTTTTTCACATTGTACAAGGCCCAAGAGCCACTCGAAGTAGACGGTTACAGATTAAAAGAGACAGTTTATGAAGATAGGAAGGCAAGGATAGGATTGTAGAGATCCTCTTAGGAGTCGATTCCACGAAGCAGCAGTTCGTAGGAAGAAGTTGCTCTAGTCGAACTTGCATCTCACCAACGGAATACAAAGTGAACGTCGGTGGTTTGCTATAATGGGAATAATATAAGGAAAATTAATATATCGCTCATAATTACTGGCGTACTTGGAACTGTCCCGAAGTATTTTTTTTTTTTTTTACAGTAAGGTCCACCTTGTACAAAGCCCGGGGATACTCGAGGTAAAGGGTTACATTGAGGGTTAGTTTATATGAACAAGACGGGAAGATAATGGTTAACTCTAGACTTGATTGTTAAGATTTTAGAGATCGGGAAAATATCCTCTTGGGCAGTGGTTGGCGGGAAGAAGCTGTTTGCGTGGAACTTACTTCTCACCGACGGAATACGGAGGGAATGTGGGTGGTTTGATACTATGGAAGTGGCATGGCGGGTCCTAGCGGTGAAGATTAGACGTGGTGGAACGAAGAAATGTAGTTTGTCCAAGCCCTTTTCATGGTAGTAGCGATCGAGCAAGCGAGCCTTCTGGCCACATCCCGTCTGCGAGAGAGAGGGGTTGGAGGGAGGAAAATAATAATTCTCCGACAAGGACACCGAGACGCTTTTGAACTATATCAAGAGTGGAAAGCGAGAACTGGGCAGCTCCCGTCCAAATATGGTAACAGTACTCCATTTTCGGCCTGATCTGGCTCTTAGAGAGAATATTGGAAGAATAAAAAGAGGAAGAGGAATCGAAATGGTCAAATCATAGCCTTGAAAACAAAACAAAAAAAAATAAAAGCAGAATACTGGGGAAAGTGCTGGAGTATGGATAAAACTTGCTGTCACTTGATCTCCAGCGAAATGACCAGAGTATTTATGTGGAAACTTCATAACTGGTACAGCAATAACAATAATAATAACAAGTATTACTACTACAATACTACTACTAATAATAATAATAATAAGTTTTACTACTACAATACTACTACTACTAATAAGTATTACTACTAGAATACTGCTAATAATAATAATAACAAGTATTACTACTACAATACTACTAATAATAATAATAATAAGTTTTACTACTACAATACTACTACTACTAATAAGTATTACTACTAGAATACTATTAATAATAATAATAAGTATTACTACTACAATACTACTACTACTAATAAGAAGAAGTATTACTACTAGAATACTACTACTACTAATAATAATAAGTATTACTACTAGAATACTACTACTAATAATAATAATAAGTATTACTACTAGAATACTGCTACTATTACTAATAATAACAAGTATTACTACTACAATACTACTACTAATAATAATAAGTATTACGACTACAATACTATTACTACTACTACTAATAATAATAATAAGTATTACTACTAGAATACTACTATTACTAATAATAAATATTACTAATACAATACTAGTACTACAACTAATAATAAGTATTACTACTACAATACTACTACTAACAATAATAACAATAAGTATTCCTACTACAATACTACTACTAATAGTAATAATAAGTATTCCTACTATAATACTACTACTACTAATAATAATAAGTATTACTACTACAATACTACCACTACTACTACTAATAATCAGTATTACTACTATAATACTACTTCTAATAATAATAATAATAAGTATTAGTACTACAATACTACTACTATTAATAATAATATGTATTATTACTACAATACTACTACTACTAATAATAATAATAATTATTAGAACTAATAATAATAATAATAAGAAGAAGAAGAAGAAGAAGAAGAAGAAGGGGTGACTCTAATAATGAAAACTTTTTTGTCGTAGCAAAAGAAAAGGAAATGAAGAAATAAATAAAAGAGGTAATTTTTTTGGAAAAGGCAAATCATATTTCATCTAGCTTCCAGGATGTGTTAATTTGTCATTCTCCTGACAGGTGGCGCTGTTTCTCTCTGTTGTTCAAACATCGCCCGAGGAAAACAGCCCCTATCAGCACGGCCGCCATCATCGAAAAATTCTTTTCTGGTTGTCAACAAGAAATCAAAAAAGATTCGCCATCTTGTATTGGCTTTTTCATATTTTTCCCCTTCTTCTTTTCTTTACTCCTCAATCCCCCTCCCTCTCTATTTTTATATTCGTCTCTTTCTTCGGTATTTTATTCTGTTCGTAGAACCCTTAATTTTTTTTCTTTTCCGCTTTAAATTTTCTTTTCGCTCATTCTGATTTCATTTTTATATTTCATGACTTCTTTCGTTCTTTCTTCTTCGTTCCGCCATTTCTCTTCAGACATAAAAAAAAACAATGTCCCTTTCTCTTGTCCCTTATTATTTCTAATATTTACAGATTTGTTACCTCCTCTTTCCCCATTCTCTGTCGCTTTCCCTCTCTAGTATTCATTCTTTCTCTACTTTCTACATTTCTCTTTTTAATTTTTCTCTCTTTTCCTTTACATCTCACTTTTTCTCTCTGTCTTTCCAGTCTTTTTATCCTCTTTTCTTTTTTCATATGCTTTCTTTCTTTCTATTCTATTCTTTCTTTCTTTCTATATTTTCTTTCCATACATTATTTATCTTTCACTGTATACTTCCTTTCTTCCTATACTTTCTTTCTTTCTTTCTTTCTTTCTTTCTTTCTTTCTTTCTATTCTTTGTTTCTATACATACTTTCTATATTTTCTTTCTTTCTTTCCATCTTTCCACACTTTCTTTCTTTTCTTTCTTTCTTTCTTTATTTATTTTCTTTCTTCCTTTATTTCTATTCTTTCTTTCTATGCATATTTTCTATATTTTCTTACTTTCTCTCTTTATTTTCTTGCTTTCTTTCTTTTTTCTTTCTTCCTTTCTTTCTATTCTTTCTTTCTTTCTTTATTTATTTATTTATTTATTTATATACTTCCTTTTTTTCTTTTTTCCTGTACTTTCTTTCTTTCGTTCTTACTATATTTTTTTTCTTTTTTTTTCTCCTTATACTTTCTTTTCTCATTTTCTCATTCTCATTTATTTTATCTCATCCTTTATTTATGTTCTTTCTTTCTTTTTTCTTTCTTTCTTTCTTTCTTTATTTATTTATTTCTACACTTTCTTTCTTCCCATACTTACTTTATTTATTTATTTATGTATTTATTTTCTTTCTCCCTTTATTTCTGTTCTTTCTTTCTTTCTATTCTTTGTTTCTATACATATTTTCTATATTATCTTTCTTTCTTTCTTTCTTTCTTTCTTTCTTTCTTTCTTTCCTTCTTTCTACACTTTCTTTCTTTCTTTCTTTCTTTCTACACTTTTCTTTTTCTTTCTTTTTTTTTTCTTTCTTTCTTTCTTTCTTTCTTTCATTTTTTCTTTCTTTCATTTTTTCTTTCTTCCTGTACTTTCTTTCTTTCTTTTTATATTTTCTTTCTTTTTTTCTTCTTATACTTTCTTTCTTTCTTTCTTTCTTTCTTTTCTTTCTTTCTTTCTTTCTCCCAATACTTTCTTTCTTTTTTTTTTTTCTTCTGTCTTTCTTTTTTCTTTCTTTCTCCCAATACTTTCTTTCTTTCTTTCTTTCTTTCTTTCTTTCTTTCTTTCTTTCTTTCTTCCAATACTTTTATTCTTTCTTTTTTCTTTCTTCTTTCATTCTTTCTTTCTCTCCCAATACTTTCTTTCTTTCTTTCTTTCTTTTTTCTTTTTTCTTTCTATTCTTGATTTATTTATTTATTTATTTATTTCTATACTTCCTTTTTTTCTTTTTTTCCTGTACTTTCTTTCTTTCGTTCTTCCTATATTTTCTTTCTTTTTTTCTCCTTATACTTTCTTTTCGTCTTTATTTATTTTATCTCATCCTTTATTTCTGTTATTTCTTTCTTTCTATTATTTCTTTCTACACTTTCTTTCTTCCCATACTTACTTTATTTATTTATTTTCTTTCTTTCTTTTTTCTTTCTTTCTTTTTTTCTTTCTTTCTATTCTTTGTTTCTATACATACTTTCTATATTATCTTTCTTTCTTTCCTTCTTCCTACAAATTCTTTCTTCCTATTCTTTCTTTCTTTCTTTCCTTCTTTCTACACTTTCTTTCTTTCTATCTATCCTTCATTTTTTTCTTTCTTCCTGTACTTTCTTTCTTTCTTTCTTTCTATATTTTCTTTCTTTTTTCTTCTTATACTTTCTTTCTTTCTTTCTCCTAATACTTTCTTTCTTTCGTTTTTCTTTCTTCTGTCTTTGTTTCTTTCTTTGTTTCTTTTTTTTCTTTCTTTTTTTTTCTTTCTTTCTTTCTTTCTTTCTTTCTTTCTTTCTTTCTTTCTTTCTTTATTTATTTATTTATTTATTTTCTTTCTTCTTCATTTCTATTCTTTCTTTCTCCCAATACTTTCTTTCTTTCTTTTTTCTTTCTTTCTTTCTCTCCCAATAATTTCTTTCTTTCTTTCTTTCTTTCTTTCTTTCTTTCTTTCTTTCTTTCTTTCTCCCAATACTTTCTTTTTCTTTCTTTCTTTCTTTCTTTCTTTCTTTCTTTCTTTCTTTCTTTTTATACTTACTTTCTATATTATCTTTCTTTCTTCCTATTCTTTCTTCCTATTTTTTCTTTCTTTCTTTCTTTCTTCTCCAATATTTTCCTTTTCCCATGCTTCTTTTCTCACGCCTCTCACCCTGCTCTCTTTTCTTCATATCACTTTGATATTTAGCTAACGGAATTTAGATGTGTTGTCACTTTTCTCTCCAAATTAATCTTACTTCTCATCTCTCTCCATCTCTCTCTCTTTCTCTCTCTCTCTCTCTCTCTCTCTCTCTTTCGCTCTTCTTACACAAACACATGAAACTAAGGCTCAACTTTTTTTGTTTGCGATCTAATATTTCCCCGATCTAATATTTATTCAGATATATAGATATATATCAATCGCCCCCTCTCTCTCTCTCTCATTATCTCTCTCTTCCTCTTTCTCTCTCTTTCTCTTCCACTTTCTCTCTCTTTCTCTCTTCCTCTTTCTCTCTCTCTCTATATATATATATATCACTCCCTCCTTTCTCTTTCTCTCTCTCTTTCTCTCTCTCTCTCTATATATATATATATCACTCCCTCCTCTCTCTCTTTTTCTCTCTCTATATATATACCCTCCCTCCTATCTCTCTTTCTCTCTCGCTTTGCCTTTCTCTCTCTCTCTCTCTCTCTATATATATATATATATATATATATATATATATATATATGTGTGTGTGCCTTTCAGTCTGTTCAGATCTCTTTATATATATATATATATATATATATATATATATATATATATATATATATATGATTTAATGAAAACAGACAAGTTTAATGGTCCAGTGGATACAATTTATTTCTCCTGGGAATTTCATTATCACTGGCTGATCAGACCAGACTTTCAACAGAAAAAAATGCTTTAAGATGAAAACGAATAGAGTCCATCGTTCATACCATTTAATTTATAATCGGGCTCAATACAAAGTCGAGCAATATTCTTCATTTTAGGATATTACATAGAAAAACATGTCAAAATCGCTACACAATTGCAGTCGTGCTTCAACGCGAATCAATGCATCTCATCAGGCGATTGTAATTTACAATCGCCTGATAAAATGCATTGATACGCATCGAAAGACAATTTTTACACACTTTATGTCCAGAAAAGAGAACACATGAGAAATTGAATAAAAAAGGTTAATCACAGTACCTTGTCAGTCCTCTTTAATGAAACACTTTCCTATATATATATATATATATATATATATATATATATATATATATATATATATATATTTATTATAGTGGTGAAAGTTTCGTGCAGGACCATCCACACTTTTTGAAGGGCCAAATACAGAGACCTGGTGCACTACGTGCCACAGGGTCCCCAAACAACCCTCTGCAGGTTTTGAATTCAGAGTTGTTCTTCTCCTAGACCAGCTGCCATCCAAGGCATAGAACCCAGTCTGTCCTGCTATTTACCCATAGCTGGAGGGAGAAGAAGAGGATTCACTCTTTTACCAAGGTAAGTGAATGTAATGGATTCGACTGGAATTCGAACTCGGCTCTCCAGATTCCTCAATCCAAGCCGCTATCCATTACTCCACCGTGCCTCTTATCTCTTTCTATCTCTCACACACACTCTCTCACACACACACACACACACACACACACACATATATATATATATATATATATATATATATATATATATATGTGTGTGTGTGTGTGTGTGTGTGTGTGTGTGTGTGTGTGTGTGTATTCATATCTCTCTATTCTCACACACACACTCTCTCTCTACATATATATATATATATATATGTATGTGCGTGTGTGTATTCATTTATTTCATTCTGTCACATTTTCCTCATATCTAACTTATTTATTTCATCTATCGATATGTCGCTCTCTCTCTCTCTCTCTCTCTCTCTCTCTCTTTATCTATCTATCTATCTCTACATATACATACATGTATATATTCACTTCATGTCCCTCTCAAACTGTTCAAGTCTATCTTTCCCTGACGCTTAAATCATGGGTAATTACCAAGTGCCCCCTTTATGTTCATCAATTTCGCCCCACCCAACCCCCATCCCAAAATGTGTTACCTGCCTCTGGCCTCGTCTAGTTAAAGAGAACAACAAGAGGAAAAATCACCAAGACTTGCCTGCGCATTCCAGGCCATGAAACCTTTGACTCAATATGGCGCTATGTCAAACGCATATTCACTGGTAGACAGCGACACACAGACAGACAATGAATCTGGCACCTGCTATTTTTAAAAACTAATGACTCACAGGACGCAGTCGTTATCAGGTAGTAAACAAAAAGTTACTTGCCTCAGTGTGATGCTTTTCCACCTCGTCTTTCGTTGCAGTTTACGCGTTGGTTTGATCATTATATACTATCGCCATTATTCTGACTCCGGGCATGACTAAATTAAGGTTTAAATGCAATATTTTAGGCCCTTAGTGTGGCGACACGGTTAACGAGCTTGCTCTGAGGGTAAATTTGTTGGGTTAAGTCAATAATATTTAAGATGCCTAGTCACAGTTTGAAAGTAAAAGAGTTCGCTAACAACGTGTATTCTATTCGTCATAGACGCTCCCCTAATATTGCCTTTTGCCAGCCTAAGATTTGGGATTACCTACCCTGGCTTAGAATTACAAACGGCACGATGTTTTCATGGGATCGCCTTCTTTTTACTCTAACGACATGAGCGATATGCTTTTTTTAATTTCTAGCAACAAACACGGTATATAAGTATATTTATCGCTTTATCTTGATTTTGCTACTTATAGACATGGTTAACTTTGCCTTCCGTGGGGATCCGTCGCTAACGCCAGTTAAACTTCAATTAAAGATTGTGTATTAACATTTTCAAACGATGAAGTTCCTTTTTTTCCCCGCATAACTTCGGCTTTACCGTTAACAAGAAAAAAAAAATCAAATGGAAATAAGATGTGATTGAGTTAAGAAAAAGACTTTTTTTTTTGTTTGATTTTTTTTTTTTTCATTCTCTGTGATCTACAAAAGATCGTTCTGGTGGATGAATCGTGGGAGACTGAGAGATCGTTCGGGGTATAACGCAAGGTAGTAGTCAAAATAGACACATGGCGAAAATCCGCACGCATATGTAGTCGAGTGAGATAGTCTTCAGCGAATTATCGCATTTTAGTAGCCGAGAGTAAGTCTCTGCTGTCGCACGGGGTTTCGTCGAAGGCATTGCCGCTGATAGAGTATAAGAGGTATAACATAAGGTAGAAGTCGAGATAGACACGTGGCGAAAATCAACACGCGTGTGTAGTCGAGCGATACAGACATGCGGAAGAAAATATTCCACGAATTATCACATTGGTGTAACCGCGAGTTAGTCTCTGCTGCTGTGGTCGGTAGCGTAGCTGGTTGAACACACCGCTGTTGAGAGAAGCGTCTTGGTGCTGCTACTGATGTCCATGGTTAAGCTTGCCAGTCGTGAGGTTCCGTCGCTAATCCCAGCAAGGCCAGATCTACCTTCATGTATGAAATCATCCTTGGCTTTATAGTGTGTCAATAACACAGAAACGGCTGTCGCGAAAACCGTGTTTTATGACCCTGGTATATAGGGAAAGTATTCCTGAAATGGGTGCCTTTTTTTTTTCTTTTTTTCTTGTTTGCAAGATTATATAATTAATTTACCCCATCTTATTATTGTTGCTTTTTAGATGAAGTATTTTCACTAATATTATTTTATTACTAGTTTTACTCCATCTTATTATTGTTGTTTTTTAGATGAAGCATTTTAAATATTATTTTATTACTAGTTTTACTCCATCTTATTATTGTTGCTTTTTAGATGAAGTATTTTCACTATTATTATTTTATAACTAGTTTTACTCCATATTATTATTGTTGCTTTTTAGATTAAGCATTTTAACTATTATTATTTTATTACTAGTTTTACTTCATCTTATTATTGTTGCTTTTTAGATGAAGTATTTTCACTATTATTATTTTATTACTTGTTTTACTCCATCTTATTATTGTTGCTTTTTAGATGAAGCATTTTAAATATTATTATTTTATTACTAGTTTTACTCCATCTTATTATTGTTGCTTTTTAGATGAAGCATTTTAAATATTATCATTTTATTACTAGTTTTACTCCATTTTATTAGTGTTGCTTTTTAGATGAAGCATTTTCACTATTATTATTTTAATGCTAGTTTTACTCCATCTTATTATTGTTGCTTTTTAGATGAAGCATTTTCACTATTATTATTTTAATGCTAGTTTTACTCCATCTTATTATTGTTGCTTTTTAGATGAAGCATTTTAACTATTATTATTTTAATGCTAGTTTTACTTCGTCTTATTATTGCTGATTTTTAGATGAAGCATTTTCACTATTATTATTTTATTATTAGTTTTACACCATTTTATTATTGTTGCTTTTTAGATGAAGCATTTTCACTATTATTATTTTATTACTAGTTTTACACCATTTTATTCTTGTTGCTTTTTAGATGAAGTATTTTCACTATTATTATTTTATTACTAGTTTTACTCCATCTTATTATTGTTGCTTTTTAGATGAAGTATTTTCACTATTGTTATTTTATTACTAGTTTTACTCCATCTTATTATTGTTGCTTTTTAGATGAAGCATTTTAAATATTATCATTTTATTACTAGTTTTACTCGATCTTATTAATGTTGCTTTTTAGATGAAGCATTTTAAATATTATCATTTTATTACTAGATTTACTCCATCTTATTAGTGTTGCTTTTTAGATGAAGCATTTTCACTATTATTATTTTAATACTAATTTTACTCCATCTTATTATTGTTGCTTTTTAGATGAAGCATTTTAAATATTATTATTTTAATGCTAGTTTTACTCCATCTTATTATTGTTGCTTTTTAGATGAAGCATTTTAAATATTATTATTTTAATGCTAGTTTTACTCCATCTTATTTTTGTTGCTTTTTAGATGAAGCATTTTCATTATTATTATTTTATTACTAGTTTTACACCATCTTATTATTGTTGCTTTTTAGATGAAGCATTTTAACTATTATTATTTTATTACTAGTTTTACTTCGTCTTATTATTGCTGATTTTTAGATGAAGCATTTTCACTATTAATATTATTTTATTGCTAGTCTTCTAAGGTAGGTAGGTAAGAACCGTTGCTGACGCCTGCCCATACTCAAACCAATATGTGCTTTATAATGCAACAGTTGCGAAAAACATAGTTGCAGTTTCTGCGACCGTGGGCGTAATCAGTAGTTGTATAAGTCTATTA